GTCCAGCGCGGACCCTACCTGGCGGGCAGGGCCAGTGCAAAGTAGGTCGACAAAGAGTCGCAGCCCATGCGGAACCGGCCGGCCAGCGTGCCACGGCTGCGGAGGACTGGAGTGCCGAGCGCCGCGCTGCTCCTTCATTAGCTTCCCCTCCACGCGGCGCTGCATGCCTCGGAAAATAAGCAAACGGGGAGCCGTTTATCTCTTTTATCTTGGGGCCTGATCCAATTAAATAAGTGCACATTTACATTTGCATCCATCAGGCGGGAGCGCCGAGAGCCCGGGGTTTGCTCGGAGCAAATAAAAGCAGATTTCACTGGGAAAGTGGTGTCTAAGCTCTGGGCTTGTCCCGGTGCCGGAAACGAGCCGCTGCCCTGCGAGCAGCCTTGGGGACCCAGGGCTGGGGCCTGCTGCGGACACGAGGCCAGAGACCTCCACTGGCCTGGAGAGGCCGCCCAGCGCTGGAGGCGCGGCCAGAGCTGCCGCCCAACCCCCGAGACGATCTGCTGCTAGGCCACAACCGGGGCTCCCTAGTGCCCGGGGCCCAAGTCGCAGTTATCGTGAAAACGAAAAGGAGATGGGCTCTGTCCTGGCCACAAAGGAAGACCCGCGGGGTGGGTCCAGGGATAGTCCTGAAGCTTTGGCCAGTTTAAGGGGAAGGCGGGCGCCAAGGTCCCAGTCGGGTCCGATTGCCCTCCTGTTCCAAGGCCGGGCGGCTAGGGAAACAAAGATCCAGCCCGCTGGCGCGCCCCGCTTTCCCCTAATAACCCTGCACCTGGGGGAGACCACTGAACTCAACCCACGAGGGCTTCTGGCGTGGTACCGCGAAGCCGAGGTGAGCACCGCAGGCCCTGCCACGCCGACCTCATTAAAGTTCTTTTCGAAACAGGAGGGTTCGACGCAATGGGAGGGTACTTTTGTTTTTCCCTTTTCTACAGATCTCTACCCCACAAGCCAAAAGTTCTTAAGACCAAACGGTCTTTGGGGGCGCGGTTGCACAGTAGCACCCCAATTTTCCAATCCGCAAATTAAACAAAACTGCACAGGGTTGTCTTTTTAGAGCTGGAGCGTGGAAAGGGCCCTCAGGAGTAGAAGTGCGTGCCCCTGATGTGGGGCGAGAGCTGCCGGGGAGGGCACGGCTGCGACCCCGCCCGTCGGTTATTTCAGCCGCCCTCGTATTTCTCAGTTGCCTGCGCCTGGTTTTTGAAACTATGCCGAAGTCGTGGCGGAAACCGGTAGGGTCAAAACTGTTCTAGTTGTGGTCCCTGCTCCCCAAATCCCCAATGCCAACTGGGTCTTGGGTCCAGGGCTGTGGCGCGCTGGGGTGGCGAAGCAGTTTAAGTTTGTCCGGCTAGGAGTTAAAAGCTAAGCCCCCATGGTGGGTAGGGGATAGCGGGGTCTCCTCTAGGTCCCCCTCCCTGCGAATCGCTTGGCTCTCCGGGTCCGGTAGGCGGCGCCCTTCCTAAACCGCATCCACGTCCGGCTCCCTCCTGGGAGCGAATCACATTCCTTTCACTTTGGGCGGTTTGCATTGCTCTGTTCAGTGCCTCCGTCCGAGTCGACAGCTAGTTGTGGGGCACAGGTGGACTAGGAGGCACGGCCGGTGCCGAAACCGCACGCACGACCCTCCTTCCCCTGCCAGCCTTCTAGGTTCCAAGAGCTGCGCGTGGCACCGGGAATGAGCGGCCTGGAGGGGTTTGCAAACCAGGAGGCCTTGCTGCAGACCCTGAACCCGGGCTGGGGAAACGGCATTTCGGGCCTTAGCACCCGGAGTGTAGGCGGGAAGGAGAAAGATCCCTCTCCTGACTCCCAAATCCCATGAACTGATTCTGCCCCGCACAGAGGATGAAGAAAAGGGAGCCCAGCCACTTCCGGGTTTTGCCTGCCTCAGGGGAATGCCTACGAGACCCCACGCAGTGATCTCGTGTCCCCTGTTGCTAGACATCCAGTGGCTTCTGGTCCCTAAGTGCCAAGGTAGGAGTTTCTTGGCTCCCAGAAACGGTCCAGCCAGGCGCAGGTGGCAAACGCCAGCACAGTCTCAGCACTTTGGGACATTAGGCACTGCCTCGCACAATTTCTGCGTGACCAGTCCATGCCTGAGAACAAACCTTGAGCCCCGAACACGCCGGAAGTTTTCCCCAGCGCATCTGAGAAGGCTTCGCCTGCTGGAGGGCCAGAGACGCAGCAAAGGAGAGCCTCCGGGAGAAACTTGGGGTCCTACAGACACGCAACCACTTCTGGGGTTAAGCGCGGAAGACGTTTCCTAAATGCCCCGCACCCTGATTTGCCTGGCAGGCCACCTCCAAACTCAAAGTCGCTAAACGCCAGAAAAGTTGCTGGCCAAAAAAAAAAAGAAAAAAAGAAAAAAAAAAAAAACCCAGACGTAATTGGGTGCTAGTACTCAAGACCAAGTGCGTACAGAAAACCGCAGACCCTACAGAGGCCCAGGGCGGGAGGGATGCGGGCAGGGGGCAGCGACTCAGGCAGCAGCTGCCAAGCCCCCAGCGGTTTAGCTCCCCAGCCGGGAGGCTCCCAGCGCCGCCCTGGATGAGGAGAAACGCCTGGCGCTCCCGGGTGCGCCGTTCCAGTTCCCAGGCAGCTCGGCGGGCATTCGGCTCCCAGCCCCGAGGCTTCGCGGTCTGATTTGGGAGGCCCGCGCCGTGCCATTTGCATATTCCCGGGAACACTGGGAGGCCTGTAATTTTCTTTTTAAAATCGTTGGGCAGGGTTTAGGGCCAGTGCTTCCAAAACCCCGCCGAGGTGATGTTGTCCTTAAACTCTCTCTTAAGAGAAGGGGACTGGCCTATTCTTCTGACTTTTTTAGAAAAGGTGGCTTCTGGGGCTGCATATTCAACCGGGGGGGGGGCGTAGGGGGGAAGCTGATTGTGAACCAGGCTGTGAGGGGAGGGAGGGGAGAATGGAAGGGGATGAGGGGGGAAAGGAGGGAGGGCAAGTCATCTCTGGAATTCAATTGTTTAAAAAAATCATTTATAATTAAAGGGACAAAATAAAATACGATCGCCTCATGCATATTTAATCATTCACACTTCCAGCTTTGAAACCATTTTCCCTGCGTGAATTTTCTCACTAATTTAAACCCTGAAGTCCACCGCTGTTCGCCAAAACATCTGGACAATGCAGCTTTCAAACTAGTTTAAATTCGAATAAGCTTAAAGGAGATCCGCTGCAGGTTTTTAAAAAAAGAAATACCAAAAGCAACTCCAGTGAAACTTCGGGGTGTGTTTACAATATCGAGTTAAGGTTAAAGTCATCTTCAGTAGAAATGCAAATATGTGCATTTTGATTTAGCCTAATTAAACCAATGTTGTGCGAACACATTCCCTCTCTACAGTCAGGCTTGGGTTTACTAGAGCAAATTAATTCCCCTCGCTGGGGTATGTTTTTGCTGTAACACCCCTCCCCCCACCCCCACACACACTCCCTCCCCCCAACCACTGAAAATTTCCCACGAAGTAAAACGCGTCCGGGCTCCAGATCTCGGGTGCAAAATGGAGCCGCCAGCACCGCAGCCAAGCCCGAATCCACAGCGTTGGCCAGCCTCGGGCGCAGGGCGTTGATTCTTCCTCATTTGGGATTCAGGTGCATCCTGACTCTTCATTTTGAGATGAAGTATGCAGGATTAAAACGAGAAAGTAAAACCTCAACATACTTTTGTAGCTACTCGGACTCTTGCATCTGAGCTGAGAAAAGTGCTAAAGCGACGACAAGCCTGATGGAGTCCACAGCGTCCTCGTTATCTAGGCAAATGGCCTCCAACTTTTGAAGACCACTTGTCCAAAAAGAGGCCCATGGTGAGGGGGAGGGATCCTTTCGGGGGCTCCCCTTGTTTCCCCCAAGTGGCTATGGCGCTCCCTCCTCCCCTTCCGCCCACTGCAATCTCCGACTCTGCAAAGTGCAGGCTTGAAATTCAGGACAAGTGTGACACCTACCTGTGAAAGGGGGAAACCGTCCCCTCGCCCGTCCCGCTCGACCCCAGCCCGGCAGCTGAGCAAGTACCTACTGGGCCGCGGGCCACCCTCACAGTCAGGGCTGAAATGTTCATAATTTAATCAAATCAAAAGAAGAGATCAGTGCCCAGATTTGAAGGCGCAGAGAAGAAGACGGTGACTTGGGAAAGCCCTCCCCTTGGCATCCCTGAATGCTCCCGCCCGCATTAGCCCGAAGCACCCTTGAAATAGTAATAAGGGCTAAATCCGGCATAAAATCGAACTCATTAGCAAAGTTCACCAGCTGATTGCTTTGCATAAAACACGACACTGATTGGAAATAATTAGGTTAAGCGATGGCGCTCGGGTGGTGCGTGTCCCTAGCTGGCTTTGCCATCTTTTCTCCCTTCTGGGCACACATTTGGGTCTCCCTTCTCCTTCCTTGGAGGTCCAATCTCTCCCAAGGAGCCCGCATCAGTGATCCAGATCTGCATTCCGGGGAGGGCCAGGTTCCCCGGGGCTTGCAGCCTAATTATGGTTTTCCCCTGGCACACTTGAAGGTCTGAGGAACATTTCAACACCCACTTTGAAAAAAGTTGCAGTTTGCACCTTTTGACCAAGGCAATGGACAGTTTATTGAGGCTTCTAAAAAGTAATGCGTGGCTCTCATTATGTTAAAATCTCTTTTAATTAAATATTTTGCATTTTACAAAGGCGCCTGCAGTTTCTTTCACTTTTTAAATCTAAGCGTATAACCTGTTTTCTTTCTGTAATAATACTTTAGCTCATACCCAGCAGAATCAATAGGTGTAAAAAATTAAATTAAACTTGTATTTTTAAACTATGAAACAGTTTTGGGGGAAACACAAATGTATATATTTATATTACAAAAAAAAAAAACATTAAATGCCTGTACAGGTGTCTTCATTTCATAATTTACTTCAAAGATATTGAATTATCAATTTAAATACAAAAATGCTACATTAAATATACAGAATAAGATTTAATACAAATCCTTTTTTAATTTTCCTTTTCGGTTGGTTAAGACATTTCTTTTGTGTGTGGAGATGTTTACATTTTTATGTCATCCATCTCCATAAACTATAAACTTTTGAATAGGAGGGTTTTTTTTTTTTTTTTTTTT